GCATACAACATTACTTTACATTTGTATTATTAAAAGTTACATAAAATATCCTTCGATGGGATGATGAATGGCGATTCCACGTCAGCTCATGCGATCGGAGGTAGACAGGGAACATGCAGTAAAAAGCACAGTCACGATCCCCAAATCACCTTTTTGGTATTACAAGCTCCCGTCTCACATAGCGATTGCACTTACGGTTTTGTTGTGTCTTCTACCAATGCGACTGCGACACGGGAAAACGATACAATCTTCGAAGAACTCTCGCGCGCGCCTTCAATGGACCGAATACGATGTAGGCAGCGACAAAAGAGCAAGTCATCGCGCAATTCTGAAACCCTGTCATTTCCGAGTCGGACCTCCGCGAAGAATCTGCCGCGATGCAAGCGGCGACGAACTGAACGAATCGCCCCGAAACTCCATCACGGACGCGCGAAAATCCCCGAATTCCCGGGGATTTTCACGCAGCGAGCCATGCCACCGTTCCCTTGCGAGTACCAGGGCAACTCTCGTCTCCTCGTTCATCCGAGAGATGGCGAGACGAGAGCGAATCTTCCATTTTCCGTGAAAGTTGCACCCCTCCCCTTTGTGTGACCGATTTGCAAATTTAATTTCTAAAAGGCACATCCTCGGATGATAAGAGTTCTGTCGAAACCCCAAGACCAAATCTCGAAGCGTTTGGCCTGTAGATCTGTAGATCTGGCACACACATAGATAGATACAGACACACACACACACACACACACACACATTCGTCGCTCGCCCTAGCTAGCGGTCAGGATCGCGCACGCTATATACTCCGGACCTCCCCTTTCTGATTTTAAAAATTCTCAAATTTCCTATCTTCATTTTTGTCATTTCCTCTCCATCATTCTGGACTTATATCCTATGCCTGACTAAGGTCAACTTCTTGGATGAATAGGTAAATGGGATGGGGAGTGTCTTCAAAAGTCAGTTGTGTTCTTCTTCGTAAAAGCTGATATGTTCTGAATGGGAGCCGAGATGGTGGTAAAGAAAGGAGCCGATATGGCTCATTTGGGATAGCATTAGACTGGAGATCTAAAGGTCCCTGATTCGATCCCGGGCCCTGGCATAAATTGTTATTATGTCCTCACCAGCAATATCCGTTTTTGTATCAATTGGACTGAGGATCTCCTCAACTCAACCAGTTCCTATTATTCCCCACGAAACCCGAAAAATTAAAATGGGAACTCTGGTGCATCTCAGAATCATGTGTCATTCATACCACAGACCCCCAAAAGTTAGGTTCACGCCCACAAATCTGGTCAAAATGCATCCGCAACCCCTCCCCCCCCCCCCTCACCCCGTTCACCCAAGGAAGAGAAGTAGGTGAATTTTTATCCCCCACAGCGTTCCGCTTAGCCGAAAGCAATTGACGAAATCCTGGCTACGCCATTGCCCAGCTGTCGTTACAAGCCCAATATGAGATTCGTAGAGAAGGAGGTCCTACTAAGAGGCGAATTCAGTCAATGACTGCCAACATGAAAAAGTCATCATCAGAGGTATACGCACGCACTTATGCATTGATCGTCATCGTTAGGTCGTCGAGCAAACTAGGTGCCTGCATTAGGGAATACGTGACTTTGGTTCCGGATCGGTTCAACTATCACGGTTCAAGATTGAGGTAAGGCAGGAAGAACTTCAAAAAGCTGCTTTGGGCTTATATAGGATCTCTGAAAATTTAGTGAGCTTCCCTGATGACAAAACGCATCCCCTGTTGGTCCAAAACCTTTATTGTAATTCAACGTTGCGTCTCTTTTCCTGAGACATTACCGATTGGAAAGAACTTTAAAGCTAAACTGGGGGGGGGGGCTCAGAAATATCGTTCATTCTTCTTTTGATTCGTATGGTGTGTCAAAATTGAAATCGATGGGACGAAACTTCCCGAAAATTAAGAAATTGAAACATTTTCGGACGATGATGGGACCCACCCACATCGATTCCAAATCTGGTCGTTCCAAATTCCGGCGGTGTCTCTCATTCTAACGTTATGGAACACGAGTCCATTGGCGATAACCGAATAACGATTGGGAATGCTTAGTACCTTCCAAAGAAAACGAATGAACGTAAAACGTACTACGAATGTCATTTTATTCTTTCTATCACTGGGAATAATGAAGACCACCTATTCCAATTTTCCAACAAAGGCTTTCAAAACTCGTTTCACCGCCTGCCGAGAGTGTTGCAAATCAGAGAGAATGCTTTTAAAAATATCGACAGATGGGTACGAAATACTTAATTTTCTCAGTTCTCTCCATTATGGTTAATCATTTTCAACCGGGAAAAAGTATTAATACTATCTTGAGGGGCCATCGCGATTCTGCGGTGAGTAACCTATTTGTGGTATGGTGTGGTAGGTTATTTGTGATATGTCATTTACACGAGATGTGATTCTTCGTATTGCTTGCTCGTCTTGTGAGGATGGTGCGGATGTCGTGAAAGAGCTCTTTTAGCTGCCATCCGGAATCGCATTTGGCATGTCGCCAACGTGTCCAGTGAATTTCGTATGTCACCTTACAGTCTTCGGATTTTCTTCGGAAATAAAAATAAACAATAATAAATAATAGTCGTAAGCTCAAAACTTTAAGAATTGGAAGAAGTAAGAAAAATTGCTGTGAATTAATGGTCATTATGCCGACCTATTAGTGCAAACTCCATCTTCCCTTCGTATCAGATGCCCAAGTCTTTCACCAGACCATCCCATTAAAATTTGCATAGGTTTCTTCAAGAGGGCGGGCCGATAGTCGGACGACGGAGTCAGATGACGGATGGCAGAAAGTGGGCAGAAAAGAGCAGACGGAAAACTCGAGCGCCGGGGATGAATATTTTCCAAAGTTTCTCCTTCCCGTTCGATCGTCTCCGATATCACACGGGAGGAAAGGTGTTAGCTAGGGCTGGGTAGAAACAGAAGGGAGAGCGATGAATCAAGTATGGACGACGACGGGAGTCTCTTTTCGTTAATCTGGCAGGACGTTATTGGGCACAAATTGATTCGTTGCCCTTATAATGATTAGGGTCATGAGACTAATGAGACTAATGACAGTCATGATCATAGGAAGAACATTATGGATGGCTTCACGTGGTAGGGTACGAGATATATGTGCTGATGGGGGATGATAGGAATAAAATAGCATGATATACGATAAGAGGAATATAAAATGATGGGGATATTAATGACAACGTACTATCATTTATGTCCGTATATCAATGAGATCAATGATAATCAAGGTCGTTAACGAAAATGAAGCACGTGCTCCAACTTTTCGATGATTCAACCGCTCTTTAGGTTCAGAGATTGGGCAGCATCTTTGTGGTGAGAATTACTGTCGTACTGATATGATTATGCATTATTACTTACTCGCATGAGCACCGCACCTTTTCCGTAAAAATTATACTGAAGAAGCAATGGTGTTGGATATCACATTTCTAATGATTTTATTAATTATGAAAGGGTTGCGTTGTCGATGTGACTTTGTATTTCAGCTTACAGCTGGGATCGATGCGATGCATCCTAAGCGAGTGCGGAGTGCAACCCGACTGACCCATTGGCAGCAGATTTCACCTTTCAGCTTAAATGTGATTTCTCGTAAGCGGGAATTTACCGAATTTACCGTGAGAGGGCCATAACGGCAGGGCTTTTCGTGCGAGTTGCGTGGACTTTATACCTTCGCCCGGCTGAAGGGGATGCGGTAGCTTACACTCTGATTTGGGCAGACTGGTAATAAAAACGCTCTCGGATTCCTTCTTCACGACTGGTACATCTCCAGTCAAGTTAAAGGGCTGAAACCCCTTCCTTAATGATGATCGTTTATTGCCTCTCGGAACGCGGTTCTCTAGAGGGGGTCGGAGGTCCCATGCCAAGCCAGGGCCTTCTTCGGAGTCTCTTCGCCCCAGGGCATAGCTTTTGAATTGGGCATGCCTGCAGGCCGGTAAGACCTCTAAGGTCGGGGTTTCTCAAGTCTTCACTCCCACTCGGCCCAAAATGCTTTTACCTGCACCCATACTACGATCGGCGTGTCGCTCCAACGCCCCCTACCCCCACTCCTCCTCCCGTTTTAATAATCCCCCTCCCGCTATAGAATTCAAGTAACGATTTATTGCATCTGGATAGGACTCTATACGGATTGGTATATTTTGATATTGGGCTAGAAACTACGCAAACGGGAAGGATACCATCACGTGGGCAAACATTGGCGCCGAGTGGACGAAAAATCTGGGGGTGGCCAGCACGCTGTCACAATGAGCAAGAGATCATTGTTGTAACAATGGGAGCGTGAGGCACGAAAGGTGCGTTTACGTCGGTCTTGTCGCCTGATGAGTCGCACTGCTTCAAGTGGCAAGTAGTTGCAATGAAAGGCTGAACGTTCCGTGTTGGCAGTTCATATCGAATCGGAAATATGTAACAGGGACCTCCCTCTCGGGATCGTAGTCATGCATACAGAGGGAAGAGTGGTAAATAAACCCCATACAACGATCGAGAGCCGTACCGGTGTTAGCAGCCCGTGTTCTTCCAGGACGATGGTCTGCTCGCCTGAAGTACGTTGTACTCATAGCCCTTGCTTTTTCAGCTCCTAAAATATTTATTTCCTATAGTATTTCCAAGAAATTTCTATACACATGAATAAAAATATATGCTTCATGCTGAAAGGTTTCCATGACATACTCTTTTGATTTCAAATGTTGGTTTTCAAATAATTTCAGCCTTTAAAGAAGAACGAAGTCATCTTGAAGAAACATCACGAATAAAGTCATGCATGAGATCAACTGTTCATGTTGAAGTTATATGCTCGGTAAACATAAAAATGTTAGTGCTAAAGCGAGTCACGATGCCTGAACTTCGCATAATGCGATATTGCAGGACGAAAGACATCCAAAAACGAAAATTGACTCTTCCATCCCCACAGCCCATGGCTCAAACCATCCTCAGTGAAATTTCTTTCATGGGCAATCGCTGAGGAGTCCCCGGAATGAGTCTGAGGTGGCTAGGTGGCTGGAGCCACGACCTGCACTGGGGATCGATGGCTAAGGACCCAAGCGGCTACCGTACTGAAGAACCATTCCAGGATTTGTATCATGGTCAACACTGCAAACATAGCATTTTTATGCATTAAAAAATCGGCACGTTATGTGGAAAATACAGGGTGAGTCACAAGTTCTGCCAACCGTTTGTACATACGTTTTCGAAATATTTTGTTGATCGCGTTACAGATCCTCAGCCGCAAATGATTTTTTTTGCTAAATGCTTTTAATGTATTCACTTATAAAAATTGCTTGAGCTCTGTGGCATCTTGACCAAAGGCCAAAGAACAATGAGAAAAATGACTTAGAAAGCGACTGAAAATCCGTAAGCGTGAAGAAAAGGCAAGGCATTAACTCCGAATCCGGCCAGAACGTAACGGGAACCGCTAAGCAATTCCAGAAGAATATTCTACGGAGAAACCCTCAGCCGCAAGTCGATCGTCAGTGTCCATTCGAATATTGACACGATGGGAACAATAGCAATGGCCTGCCCCGCTTTAAAGGTCCACGGAATGATCGCTCCGAAGAAAATTTCGAATTGGTCATTCGTGAAGATATATCCAATACTTTCAAAGTGGACCAAGATTGTGACTGCAGAGATCACGATTCCTCGGCATTGGTCGAAAGAATTGTACGGATCTCCAGGTCATAGGTTTGAAGCAATACTCTTGTTTGAAGTGAGGTAAACGTGTCATGTGAAGAATTCCCTTGGATTTCATATGATTTAAGCCACATTCCAATCCGAACACAAGTTCATGAGTCCTTACCGGTGAAATGGTGGACAGGACTATTGACTCATCCTGTATATATTATTTCTTGGCATTTTTCGATTTGTCGTTTACCTGAGGCTCCGAGAAGCAACCCTAGAGTCCCTCCGAGATCGCATAGAAGGGCGAAGATATTATAACTGTACTCTTCCTGGATCTCCTCGTAGTTCATGTCGACATAATAGAGCTGTGAAAAAAAAAAACAGAAGAAGCATGAATGCCCAGGGATTTGTCAGGCATTGACGCGGAAATATTGATAGAAAGATTATGCTTGCGTCTCACTCGAGTGACGGAGGCATTGTCTGTTCGAATACGGGAATCGACTGAGAAACTGTAGAAATCCTGATTGCACGGCGTGGGACAGTCACATTTGTCAGGGATCCAAGTCGGGATGCTCGTGTCTCTCCCGTCCACCATTCGGATGCTCGTACGTGAGGCGTTCATGAACTCTTCTCCTCCTTTGCACATCCTAGTCGTCGAATTCGCCATGAACGGAAGTCTGATGCAGGATGCAACAAAGAAGCATGTCAGCGCAAATAAATAGTATTCTGCGGAGTTTAAATGCACAGTTGCTGCCAACTTTTGCACCGATGGGGGAAGGGGGCGTGAGGAAATGCGAATGCTGGTGATAATTCCCAGATATCTAAAATTCCTGTATATACAATTGTGACAAGTGCGAATTCTAACCATGTTCCCGGGTAGCACACAACGTTGGGCCCACGTTGGCCGCGAAAGGAGGAAAGTGTACGCACCTCGCAGTGGGCTGCCCATGTAGCCCCCACATCGGCGCTATGGCGGCAGCCAACATTTGTCATGTCTCAGGATGAGACATCAGTTATCTAAAGAAAAAGCCACCAGATGATGCGAGATGGCGCGTATGTAGCCGCTATTTCAGTGTGACCTGGGAGCGACTCCTTAACTTAAGACCACAGTACCTTTCCTTCGGTACTTGATTGTTTCACACAGAAATCGTAATGGACGACACTCGAATTTCTAAAATCATTTGCTTAAACAGGTTAAGCAGTCCAAGAAGACTGCTGTTAATCGTGGAGGAGGCATGGTTCAAATTGGGACTTCATTCAATAGGTTAAGGACGAATAAACCTAGTCTCTCTCGATTGTGGACACTGCGCCTGGCTCCCTTCAGGGGTAGGTTAGAGTGTGATTAACATAAGATCACTACAATCTTACTGGACAAGCACTTTCATAGCGGGAAACAAAGTTATATCACTTACTAAACTACGATGAGGCTCGTATTCCGTGCGGAAATTGAAGGCCTTAGAAGATGACAATCGAAGGAAGGAGGAGGTACTCCAGGAAGTACATCCAGCCAGACAGACTCAGTGGCAAGGTCACGGGTAGGGGAGCTTAACAATTATGTCCCTTACGGAAATGTCCTATAGGAAACCTTTAGCTATTTCTTATAGGAAACCTATAGACTTTCCTATAGGTTTTTGAAACACG